GATTTTATTTTCACGATTCGGGTGCCATCTTTTTATTTCGGGACTTCAGCATCGGGAATATCTTAGCACGACAGAGTAATATTCCTTCCACAGTTAGGTCGCCTCGCAAGGGCGGCCTGTACGCAAGCCTCCCGTGGTCGTGTTCCGCGAGCAGGAGATACTCGTTTGAGAGCAGTGCCAACGGCAGCCCCCTTGGTCTGGGTGCAGGTATGTGGACCGCCTGGTGGAGACGCTGCAGCAGAAGCTGTACCAGGCAGACAAGATGCTGCAGTCTCAGGAGGCCGTGGTGGCACGGCGTCAGGAGGCCCTGGACGAGCAGCGCCAGCTCCAGCCAAAGCTGGATCTCGTGCTGCTCAAGACGAGGCAGCTTCAGAAGCAGGTTTGTGCCCGTCCCTTCTCGAGGCTGCTCTATGCAATTGTGTTTGATTGCAACCACTGAGTGCGTCACTTATGATGAAGGATCATGCTGGTGCTATCTATTGGATAGCCCCGGAACGCTCGTAATTTGCATGTAGTATAATTGCTTATGTTATGTCAACATTTTATTTTTTTTTTGTATTTTTCTTTTCGGTTATCTTAAAATGACTTAGTAATTTATTTGGCTATTTATCTCAAGGATTTTAGGTGCAGAATTGCTCAGCTTGGTGCATCGCTCTAAACTTGGATCGACTCGGCATTTGAAGGAATAATCTTAAGAAAGTGGTGCATTTGTGGAATGCAAAAAAGATCCAGTGCAAACAGAAGCACAACTGCCATGTAGAACATATGTTGAAATCTGCGACTGCTCATTGAAACAATGAGAGCTTGCAAGTCCAAGAGTAACATACAAATATTTCATACGTTCACTAGCTTTGGAGAAATAACGAGCAGGTTCGAAGCAATATAATTTTTGCCGTAACAATAACAACTCTTCCCTCGGATAAAACCTTGCGGGATCCGGCAGCTCCTGATTCTTGCTCTCCTGCAGTACAGTATTGGTAGCATGCATAGAGAGAGCCAGCTTCTCCAAGCTATTTGATGGGCATGAGCAAAGCTTAATTTTCCTTGTGATAAGCCCAGTGTGCGCTTGAGAAGATATTACTTCTTCTATTACAGTGTAGCCCCGAAAATTGTTACAGCCAGATATTTTCTCAGCAGACATTCAGTTACAGCATACCAATTTGTGAAATTTTGTTGCTCTTCCTCTCTATGCCATTAAGTCAAATTCGCTTATTACAGACCCCTTCTACAACATACATTTGCATATATAATGGACTATATCAGGGTGTTTGTAAATAGTTCATCATTCGGTTATAGTGAACTCTTCGACAGCAGTCATTATCTAGGGCATCCTTTTTGTGAACTAGTGTTGGCAGCCTTCTTGCGAACTGCCGTCATTGCGCGTGGTGCCTCACAAGCCTCGCATGATCCAAAGTATGCAGTGACGACAATTACTGGGGGGGGGGGGGGGACAGCTTAATGAAAAAATCACCACCCTTTAAGGTGCAAAAGTTTCAATAAACCGGTTCTTTTCTTCTAATATCTACTTACATGTCATCAGTCTCACCGATCAGAACAGACTCCAGTCATAATCCTCCATAATCACTCATTCTGCATAATCTTTTTACAAAAGACAAAAATCTTCATCACTATCATGGTTTGTTAGAGTGGGTTTGTACTGTTTTCATACACGCCACATACGATACATTTTTTGCTGAGATGTGCTGTATGTTGATAACTGAAATTTATTTTGTAGTGCAGAGGTAAATGATAAAAGTGAAGCAATTCATAATTGTGTTATAGCTGGGATTTACTATTTACTTCTTGCATCAAATTTTTAATTTGTTTACAGTTTACAGTTCAAATGCAGAATTGTGTGATTTGTTGCACTTTATTGGCTAAAAATACATAATCAACTTTAGCTCTCACCCCTATTTAAAAAATTAAATTAAATTGCTGAGCGTCTCGACATGCAAAATACAATTGAAATATGTCCTTAAATGACCAAAGCGCAAGTTCGGCCCAAATATCATAATTGCATCTCTTGTTCAGGGCAGTTCTCAGAGATCCTGCATAATGCAGCGAATTTTATGGAAATAGTTGATTCAGTTTGAAATTATATTTGAATGGCCTCACACTTTGACTTACATTCGGGTTATTAAATAAAAGATTGCCATTTGCAAATATCGGCTTGTAATGCATCTATTTTGAACAGTTATAATGTATGTCTTTTGGGGAGTGTTCACTCTTTTCAAATACTCTAAAGAAGCCTACACATACGAGGCCATTCAAATTCTCTCCTCTCGACAAAATGACACCCAAAGCGTGACACATTCCTGAAAACGGTTCTGTGGCTCTTCGCACGACAGATACAAGAGGAGATCTCGAAGCGCTACAAGGACCGGCCGGTCAACATCATGGGAGGCATCAACGTCATGTGACGGCCGTGAACTGCCTAGCACCCCTGTTAGCACCCTTCCCGTGCCCGTTCCTGGCGGCAGCCCCACGTCCCTTGCCCGCCCGCAGAGCTTCCGAAGCCTGGCAGCGCTCGCGTCTCATCCTCAACCATTGGGGCAAGGTTATGCCTCGTGCCATGTGCGGTCGTTTGGCAAGGGCGAGGTGCCTAGAAGCCGCCGATCCATCGTCGTGCAGAAAATTGGCCAAGAGTGTGCGACAGACTGGAGAGATTGTGTTCCCGAGATTGGGGGGAGTGTCGGTGCGCAGCATTGCGAGAATCGTGGAAGTGGCAATGTTTTTATTTTTTTTTTTTTTTTACAAGAACAACTTTCTTACTTTTTCTGCTAAAAAACGCCTATGTTCCGTAGTTGTTGCATGCGGTTCAACTGTACGGCTTTCACCTCGCTTGAAATGAAGCATACGAGTGTCAGTTTGTCGCGCGAGTGCTACTCCAGTGGCAACAGGGCTACATTAGCCTTACCAAAACCGAAAGACCATTTATTGCGCAGCAACCAGCCATGATGCCACTTGGCTAATACTCGGGGGGGGGGGGGGGCAGAATGTTGCGCTTGCTCGCTGCATTTGAGCTTGGTGATGACCGTACAGATTTTGAAAGATTGGTGTGGGAGCCCTTCACGGGACTTTGCTTGCAGTCACTTTAAAAGACAAAGTCGTTACATCCAGTACAGGTACACTGCAAGATATTTAGCATAAACACGACTTCGGCGCTTTTCCTCATTTTACTTTAAATGGGTATTGGCGGGCACCAAATTTTGTCCCTGGGGTAAATGTTCAAAATGAGCATTTTCCACCACACTAGTACTCTTGATGACCGCCTGTCGATTCTAAGAGACAAACGGAAAATATTGGTGACCGTTTGTTTGCACTGACAGTTTTGCACTTTGTGCATTTAACACTGTTTGACGATGTACATCCATTCTTTCTCTACTCTCATTGCCACAATACTGTTGCACCTGCTGGTATATATTATACATAGTGAACAGAACGGCGCACAAAAAAAACGAGGACAGAGAAAAGAACATGCACAACACCCAGCGCTTGTGTGTTGTGCATATTCCTTTTCTCTGTCCTCGTCTTTTTGTGCGCTGTTCTGTTCACCATGTCATCATAACAACTCGCCCAACTTACAACACTTCTGCATATTACACATAGTTGGTGCATCGAAAATGCAGTTTATTTTAAAAGGTTACAATATGCCACACGTGGCCAATGAGTTTAGCTTAGAAAACCTACTTCTGGACCCGGTAGGAATTTTTGATTAAATGAAAAACAGTTTAAATTACCATATTTACTCGTATATAGATCTTTATACCGAGACCCCGCGGAGAATAATAAAAATTGTTTGAATATATGGTGTCCTTAATTTTTACAAATGTAAAAAAAGAAAAAAATTGCCCCTTTCTCCCACTGTCGTGGCGAAGATAGTGGTGACGCGAAATGTGATGCAGCGTCGAGCTAGATGCGATTGTAGCGCCGCCGTTTCTGTCACTGCAGCATGCAGCAACACCATCACCGTCACCCTGGGAGCAAGACATTCCCTGAACGGTGAAGGTGAAAGTTTGAGGTCTGCTGTGGCTTCGTCGTGAACGTCCCTTTCTAAGAAGCGTACTAAGTGAAAAAAAGAGAAGGAAGAGAGACAGCGCACTCGATAGGAAGGCTGTAAACCTGGTGAGGTCACTCGCTTAGTGTGTGCTAGGAACAGTCTTACAAACATTACTCTAAAAAAAGTAATCAAGTACAATTACCCTCGGTTAAAAAGCATTTAATTCAGTTACTCGATTACTTAAGAAGAAAAGTAAATGGCTGTTATTTGAAAAAGTAACCTTTACATATTCGATTACTTTGATTTCTTTGGTTTCCAAAATGACAGATTTTTCTGCCGGTGTAAAAACGCCTTGCATACTGTTCATGATTGAATTAGAAGCTCCGCATTATCGGTAAACCATCCTACAGTCGGAGACTTTGTTCGAGGATTCCTTGGTAATAAACTTGTAGACACAATGATGGCATTCGAAAGGAGAAAAAAAAAAGTAACGGTTGCAAGTAATTTTAGTACTTTCAAAAGTAATCAGGTTACTCTTGGGATTGCTTCCCAATAAATTTAATAAAAATTATTACAAAATTACTAAAAAATGGTTGAATGCAAGCAATTTGATTGCTTGGAATGAATGCCGTGCAAGTCTGGCTAGGAGCAGAATGCGTCGCTGGCGTGTCAATGCTTGATCACGTGATATGACCGGCGGGAGTAACTCTCATCTACTGGAGCCGATACGCGCGGCTGGCACTCGCGTCCAGTTGGTGATGAGACGAGCGCTACGTCAGCGTTCGGTTCTCACTCGTGTTTCGGCTCCGTCCAACGTTATTAATTAGATTAGCTCAGTTACGGCACTGCTCATAGAGGCTGCTTGCACGAACAGTACTCCTCTCACTCACCACAACCTGCCATACGCCTTGAAGCAGAACGTCTAGATGGCGTTCAAGGTCCTAGCGCGTTCCTCTTTGTAGCGCCGGCTTTCCTGCACGGCACAGGATTCTGCTCCTTACCTGACTCGTACGTTCGCGGCCCGCTTTTTCTTCTTTTTCCTGAAAAAAAAAAAAAAAAAACAGGAAAGGAGGAGGCGAAAGCAGGGGAACGTACGCCGGGGCTCTTGCAACGGCGGCGAAGCGGCCGTATCGGTGGCTTTCCTGCACGGTACTTGGATTTTGCTCCTCACTTGATCCGATTTCGGCGAATAGCGGCGCGTCGGCACGTGGAAAACGGACGCGCAACTCTGGCTCCTTACGGGTGCCTATACAAGGAACGAAAATATAGATGGCGCTTCAAACGACGGGTGGCGGATTGAAGTGAGAGAGGGATGTGTTACGTGTACCCCCATTCGCAGGAGGTTCCACAACTGAGGTAATCTAGTAACGTTGGCTCCGTCACTGCAGCGAGAACCGGAAACAGGCGCTAGATAACACACTCTGGGAAACAAAAAATATATCTCGCAGAATATCCGTCACACTCGTTAGAACCTAAGAACGTTGGCCCACTGGCTGCGTCAACTTCCAGAATGACCAGCAGTGGCATTTGCGCCGCGGCGCTCGCGTCAAGCTTCACCGCTTCACACCGGCGTGCTCGGAGAAGCGGCTGACGCGGCGGATCATGTCGTGCTCGATATGCTCAAGGAGTATCATCGCTTCTTCGGTTACAATTGTAAACCATCTCCTAATGAAAAAAAAAAAAAAAAAAAAAAAAGCAGTTTTCTTTTTTTTTTTTTTCCTTCCTCCAAAACACTTTTTTTTTTTTTTTTTTAATGTTACGATTTTTAAGGGACGCACGAAAACCGAAATGCGCGAACGGTAGCGATCGTGATGGTGTTTATTACGGCCGATTTGTGAGTTGCGGAAATAAAGAGTTTTACACAATGTTACGGAGTTCTCGTTAATCGAATATGCAAAGATTGCTAAACAAAAGTGGTTACATTACTGCATTTCACAAAGGTGTGAGTTCTGTAACAACTATGTGCTACGCCATTTACCCCTAGCCCTTGCATTCCGCTAAAATGAAAAAAAAAAAAAGAAAAGCGCCAGTATTGTGTTTAATTTGCAGTGCCGGAACTAAGAGCATGTGATTAAGAAGAGAAAATTCCACAACTGAGCTTATTTCGGCCACTACAGAAAGGAACGTAATTTCTTCAGCAATGCAACATCACGCGCGGACAAAAGCAATTCCTTGCCGAAACCCGGGATCGAACCAGGGACCTTTAGATCTTCAGTCTAACGCTCTCCCAACTGAGCTATTTCGGCCACGTTGAGGTGGGGGACATGATGTAATTTCTTTATAGCCTGTTGCAACCAGACTTGTGCCCGTTATTAGGAAAATGTTATGAATTACCAGAGTGTCGAACCGAAATTTTTATCGGTTCGGTTCGGGTTCGGGTTCACGGCTTTCGGTTCAGTTCCGGTTCAGCTCCGGGGAGTAAAAAATAACGGTTCAAACCGGTTCGAACCGGTTCAAACCGGTTTGAACCGCTAAATTGAAAATTTGTTTTCCGCGGTTTTTTGCAATATGCACTATTTCCGCCGTGAAACGAGTAACTGTATAGTGGTTTATCGTTCGTACAATCTACTTTTATTTTCAGGTACCAAAAATAAGAAATTGCGTTATTTATTTTAACACAACAGTAAAATAGAATCTAGATTAACATAAAGAAATGTCGTGTTTATACGACTGAGCATTCATCTGTTTACCTCAGTTACATATATTTTACCTTGATCGAAAGGTAGTCACGAAGTACAGTAGGCCGCCTAAAATACCCGTGATTGGTACAGCTTTGCATCGCAGGATTAAAAGCTGAATCGTTAATGTGTTCTTGAACTAGGGAATTAATTGCAGTGCCTAAAATCATGGAATGGGTATCTCGTCGCCGTAAATATCATAAAATATACTTTACAAAATACGTTTTACAATATACCGGGAGCGGCCGTAAGGAGCAACATATTTTGCACGCCTTGCAACATTTGAATTCCAAGCGGACATATCTGAAATTGGGCGCGCGGACGTAGTTTTTAAGAAGTTGTATCTCCAATTTGTTTCTTTAGAGCTCAATTTTAAGGTCGTGAAGTATTAAAAATAAAGCAGAATCGGAGACCGTGCATTTCCTGTGTTCTATACCAGCCTGTTTGTCGTCTGCACACTTGTTTCTGAGGTCACTCCCAGGTCGCTTGCTGAACGCAACAACGCCGAAACTCAATAGCAGAAGCTGGCGATGAGCAAGATAATCGCGATAATTAATACTTTTAACGAAATATATAAACAATGTCTACTTGCGAGCAATCTCACAAACCAGTGCGAAGACGATGAACATCCGGTACATGGCATAGGAAATGCACGATCGCCATTTTTGCTCTATTTATAATACTTTACTATAACCTTAGCCCTAAAAAAAAAAAAAATCAACACTTTTCGCGAGATTAGGTTTGTATGCCCAATTTCAAGTATGTCCGTTTTGAATTCGAATTTCGCAAGGCGTGCCAAATGTGTTAGTTCATTGGCCGCACCCTGTATATGATGACGACGCGACTGAGCTAAAAGCAGTTGAAATATTTATGACGAACGCATGCATTTGTAGTCACTCTGAATCAGTGACATACCTTTTATAAAAACGGTGACAATCACAACACTCGTTTTCCTAACTAACACCTTTTACACTCAGCGTCGTGATGCAGGCGAAGAATCATGCCGATAAAAGGGATCCGAAATGGTGCACTGTCATTTATACGCAGCTTCGCACTCAGGTCGAATCTGGCCTAAAATAGCGCGTACTCAAGTGAACATTTTTCTTATGCAGTATAAAGTGGCATAGCCGGGGTTTTGAGGTTTGTTCTTGAGTAGATGCCAGGTGAATTCCATTTGAAAATAAGAATCGCACTTGCTAATTGATATTTTATTTATTTATTACATACTGCAGGCCTTGATTAGGACCTTGCAGGTGTGGGGTACATTTCCAAAAGATGTAATTAATAAAAAAGGACAGATTTCAATATTTCAAATATCGTTTTACATAACGAACAGTAAAAAGAATAGCAATGACTGTCGGAATAAACGATGAACGTACCGATCTAAAAGACGCATATATATATATATATATATATATATATATATATATATATATATATACAACACGGGCACTTCACACCATCGTATGTGGTCTCCGAGAAGGATATAAACAAATATGTGCAGATGAATGAACCGTACTTAATCCAATGAATCAAAGAATAAAAGTTTTCAGGAATCCGCCGAAAGCCAATTTTTGGCTTTCGGCGGGTTCCTGAAAACTTCAATTCTTTGATTCATTGGATTAAGTACGGTTCATTCATCTGCACATATTTGTTTATATATATATATATATATATGAAAGGCACATTTGAAAATTTCAATCGTCATTTTACATAACTAGCAGTAAGGAGAATAGCAAAGACTGTGATAATATGCAATCAACGCTCGAATTAAAAAATGTGACAGAAAATATAAATATAAACGTCAGTTGCCAGTCAGCGTTGTGTTCGGTCACTTCTCGTTCTTGTCCCTTGTTTTTTGTGTGTGTGTTTTTTTTTTTTGCGCTGTTTCCAAGCTTGTATGATTTAGTGCTTTATTGAAGTCAGGGAGATAAAAACATTATAGGGCAGTGTGTTCAAATTAGATATAGTGCGTGGAAAAAATGACAACTTGAAAATGTTAGTTCGAGCAAACATAAGCTGGAGAGAAAACTCATGGTGGTTCCTTGAACAAAATAGTATTTTATACTCTACTCGACATGACAGCCCTGACGTTCTGCGTGCGTAATCGTTATAGTTCCGTCACGCT